TGCGTTGGTGGTGGTGGGGGGGGGTTTTGCCCTGCTCCCTTGGTTCAGTTCTAGTATTGCTTTTAGTGATCGTGTGGATGTTGAAGTGTTATTTGATTCAGGAGCTACACTGCCTGTATGTCTGGTTGGCCGTGAATTGAAGTTTGCAAATGTGTGACATCGCCCTGCAATCAGAATGTGGTTAAACTACTAGGAGAGGAGTGTTATATCATCGGTGTTGTGTGTAAAGAGTGAATTCAAATATGAAGGCCGGAGTACAGTAGTGAATTTTGTCTATTATGATCAGCCTTGAGCGAGTTATCTTGGGTATGGACTGGTTATCAAAGGTGCTATGATAGACTGCTGCGGTAAAGGATTGTGCTTGATGCTGATGATTCTGCTACTAGTTCTCCCCCAGTATCTCTTGTGTGTTGCAGGTTAGAAAGGCTTTGGAGCCGGGGCATTGGGTATGTCTTTGTGGGGGGTTTGATTGGCGGAAGTCATAGAGGAGATTGGCACTATTTCCGTGGTGAGGGAGTTTGTGGATGTGTTTCCAGATGAAATTCCACACTCGCTCGTCATAGAGATTGAGTTCACGATTGGATCAGTCAGGGGTGCTTGTGTCTTCTCAAAGATTGATTTGAGGTCGGGTTATCATCAAATCCGAATTAGGCAGGAAGATATTCCGAAGACTGCCTTCCGATCTAGATATGGACATTATGAGTATCAAGTAATTCCATTTGGACTCACTAATGCTCCTGCGGTGTTTATGGATTACACGAATCGCATATTTAAGCCGTTTCTGGATCAATTCGTGATTGTGTTTATTGATGATATCCTGATATATTCGAAGAGTAAGGAAGAGCATGAAAGTCACTTGAGAACTGTGTTGCAAATTCTCAGAGAGAAACAGTTATATGCAAAGCCTTCTAAATGTGAATTTTGGCTTTCTCAAGTGCAATTTCTGGGTCACGTTATCTCCGCTGAGGGAGTAGCAGTTGATCCTAGCAAGATAGAGGCAGTTGTTGATTGGGAGAGACCCAAGACAGTAACAGAAATAAGAAGTTTTTTGGGTTTGGCTGGTTATTACCGGAGATTCATTAAAGAATTTTCAGCCATGGTGTTGCCATTGACCCGTTTGACCCGGAAGGATACTCCATTTGTTTGGACACAAGAATGTGAAGAATGCTTTCAGAGCCTTAAGGAGAAACTGACGACCGCTCCGGTGTTAGTACTTCCCGACCCGGAAGGTGAATTTGAGCTATACAGCGATGCTTCCAAGAAGGGATTGGGATGTGTACTGATGCAAGATAGGCGAGTGGTAGCTTATGCATCGAGGCAATTGAAACCGCATGAAGAAAATTATCCAACCCATGACCTTGAGCTCGCTGCAATTGTTTTTGGGTTGAAACAGTGGAGGCATTTCTTGTATGGAATGCAATTTGCAATATTCAGCGATCACAAGAGTTTGAAATACTTGTTTGATCAGAAGGAGCTGAATATGAGACAACGACGGTGGACCGAGTTCCTAAAAGACTATGATTTTGAATTGAAATATCACCCTGGCAAGGCTAATGTTGTAGCTGATGCACTGAGCCGTAAATCTGTGAGCATATCAAGCATGATGATTAGAGATTATGATGTGATTGAGAGGTTCAGAGATATTCAATTATCTAAAATCTTTCCATGTAAAATTTGTGGCTTTGAAATCACGAGCATTGAGAATGAACTGATGACCAGAATCAAAGAAGCCCAGCTGCAAAATGAAAGTGCTAGACGACTAAAAGGTCAGAGTGGTGTATCCTGCAATGATGAGGGTATACTATTATATCAGGGTCGTGTAGTTGTACCTAGGCAGTTGGCGGAAGAAGTAATGACAGAGGCTCATAAGGGTCATTTTACAGTTCATCCGGGAGCTACAAAGATGTATCAGGACCTAAAGATGAATTTCTGGTGGCCTGGTATGAAGAAAGATATTGCCGAATTTGTCTCTAAGTGTCTCATTTGTCAGAAGGTAAAGATTGAGCATCAAAAGCCTTCTGGTATGTTGCAACCTCTGGATGTTCCTGAATGGAAATGGGAGAGTATCTCCATGGATTTCGTAGTGGGATTGCCGCGAACACAGGCTAGTTATGATTCTATATGGGTGATTGTGGATAGATTGACGAAATCCGCACACTTTTTGCCAGTTCGGGTAGATTTCTCTGCGGAGAGATTGGCTAGGCTCTATGTGAAGGAGATTGTGAGGCTTCATGGGGTGCCTGAAAGCATTGTTAGTGATCGGGACCCGAAGTTCACTTCTCGCTTCTGGGGAGCATTGCAGGAGGCTCTTGGCACTCAGTTGAGACTGAGCACTGCTTATCACCCACAGACGGATGGTCAGACTGAGAGGACCATTCAGACGTTGGAGGATATGCTGAGGGCTTGCACCCTGGAGCAGGGTACTGCATGGGATCGATATCTCCCACTGGTTGAGTTTTCGTATAATAATAGTTTCCATGCTAGTCTGGGTATGGCTCCCTACGAGGCCTTGTATGGTCGCAGGTGTAGGACACCTACTTGTTGGTCAGAGGTTGGAGACACAGAGCGGTTTGGATTGGATTTTGTTCAGGAGACTACTGAGCAGATTAAAATGATTAGGGATCGTCTGAAAAAGGCTCAGGATCGTCAGAAAAGTTACTATGATCTCAAGCATCGACCTCTAGAGTTTGAGGAGGGAGATCATGTGTTCCTGAAGCTGTCACCGGTTACGGGTGTGGGACGAGCCCTTGGAGTGAGGAAGCTGAGTCCGAGATTTATTGGACCCTACCAGATTCTCCGTAGGGTGGGACCGGTTGCCTACCAGCTTGCCTTACCTCCGCAATTAGCAAATTTACATGATGTGTTTCATGTTTCTCAGCTGAGGAAATATGTAGCTGATCCTTCTCATGTGGTTCAACCTGATAATGTTGAAATCCGGGAGAATTTGAAGACTCCTATTGGACCACTGAAGATACTCGAAAGAGATGAGAAGAAGCTGAGAAATAAATCTATTCCTATGGTGAAAGTCCAGTGGGAAGGAAGGTCGCCTGAAGAGTCCACTTGGGAGCGGGAAGATGAGCTTCTCCGGCAATATCCTGAGTTTAAGGACAGGTACGTTCTTGATTTTGCGGACAAAATCGCTAAAAGGTGGGGTGACTATAATAGCCCATATTAATTAATTAGGAAATCAAGTGTAATTGATTAATTAAACATGTTTTACTGGGTGAAATTAAGTGTGAGGCTTAATAAAATGAATCTGAGTCACTTTGGAATTAAAAAGTGTACTCAGTGAAAATTAAGGGGTATAAATGGGTACTGTCAAAAGTACCCAAAATATAAAAATAAAAATAGTAATATTCCTAGAATAATATTCCAGACTTTTGGGTAAAGTTTGGTAATTATTGGAGTTAAATAGATAGACGAACCAATACTCGCTTAGAGCCACTTAACCTATGTTAAGTGACTTAAGTCACCAAATGACCCTCATTTCCCACCCAGCCCGTCGACGCCCAGAAAGAAGAGAAGAGAAGAGGAAGGGAGGGAGAGAGAGAAAGAAAACCTAGGTTGTGTGATTTTCAACCGATTGGAGCGATTCAAAAGCCTAAATCATTTAGAATCTTCCCCTCTTTCATAATCCTAACTTTGTTTTGAGTGGGGAGCATTGTGGAGAGGGATATTGGCTCTCAAAAATTCGGCCCTTTGGTGAAAATTGGGGTTTTGAGAGTTTCTACCTCCATTGAAGCTTGAGGAGCCATCAATCCTTGGTTGTGTGACCATTGGTGGTAAGATTCTAACCCTTGAACCTCATGATTCCTTGAAATTTGCATGAGTTAGGGTTTGTGAATAGTAAATTGGGATTTTTATGAAATGTAGTTGAATTAGCTATGTTCTAGGAAGAATGGAGCTTAGAGCATGTTATGGAAAATGCTAGGAATGTCATTTAATCGGTGGAAATGAGCCTAGATAGTCATTTGATAATTGTTCATAATATTGGAAAATTCATGCTTGGATTGGTTAGTATTCTAGCATGTTGAACAATTAGTGAGTTGAATGATTGATTGGATCCTTGTGATGTCTAGGATTGAGACATTTGGACCAACCGTGAGTGATCAACCATTGGAGCAAGCTATGGAGCTTGAATAGCTCATTGGAATTGGTGTATGTTTGTAAAAGTTGATTGCTGAAACTGTTGGTGAAGAACAAAGGTTGACTGAAGCATTGAGGTAAGCCTTCGGACCTTGGGTGTAATTCCCTTGATTGTTCCACCAAGCCCTGAAAGGGTAGTGGTAATTATAGTGTATATAAATGCAATGAAATAGTGTAATGCTTTGTTATACGTATGTGTATGCATTTGGTGTGACATAGGATGGTGTTCCCTATATGGTATGTTGCATGACGATGCGTAAATCATACTTGGTAGTTTAGCTGGCCAGTAGGACTATTTGCATCTGAGTTTCCTTAGGACAGCTTGAGAGCTCGAGGGATTTCTCCTGGAGATGTATTGCACTTTGCATAGATATGTATTTACTGCATTATTATTGTTATTGCTATTACACTGATATGGAACTGTGGGGTGGAGAGATGCTCCAAGGACCCCTGGTTTACTGGATATATTCGTATATCTCACCCCGTGTTGTGGGGACCCCCTTTCAGGTAAGGATGCTGCAGGAGCCTCTGGTGGCAAGTGGTCATACCTAGATTATGCATGAAATATGGCACTTCTTTGAGTTTATGCATGCCTGTTGTAGTTGACATGTATAGGATTTTATTTTGAAAGCCCATGATCATTTGTATATCTTGATTCATTGGATGAACTTAGCCTATGCTCATGCCTTTGGTTACACCTTTTGTTGATGGGAGCCAAGGGAATGATCATAGTGTTTTGTAAGCTAAGTTCTATGATTTGTAAAGGATATGTAATGTAAATGATGCCTACTTGGAATTCAATATATGCATGCTTGTTATGTATTGAGTTGTTGAATTGGTTGGGCTGAAAATCAATTAGGTACCCTCTTCGTTTAAACTGGTAAACGATGAGAAAACAAAGGTCATGCTGCCCAAATTCTAGCTAAATCTCATGAGGAGAGGTTGGATGAGTGCTAGGATTTAGTTTTGTGGCATGGACATTTGGGGTTTGTAATGGGGATGCATTTTCCCCTAGGCTTGGACTTGAGAAATGTGGGAATTGGAATTCCCTGGCAGCGCGCCCAAGCGCCCTGCTGCCCCTGCGAGTGCCAATGCATTCTGCCTCCTCGCGCTGGAGCGCCCAAGTGGGGGCTGAAGCGCCCAGGATTGCGCGCTGGAGCGCCCTGGCGTGCGCTTAAGCGCCCCTTGCTGCAGAAAGTTGGGTGGCTTACTGCCCCCTCGTGTTTTAGCGCCCAGGGTGGGGCTGAAGCGCCCAGGGTTGCGCGCTTGAGCGCCCTGGTCCGCGCTTAAGCGCCCTTCGCCACTGAAGGGGAGATGCTTCTGTCTCTGCGCGCTAAAACGTCCCCGTGGGAGCTTGAGCGCCCAGGATAGCGCGCCTGAGCGCCCTGTTGCGCGCTTAAGCGCCCATCCACACTGGAATGCCTGATGCTTACTGCCTCCGTGCGCTTAAGCGCCCAGATGGAGGCTTTAGCGCCCGATAGCGCGCGCTTGAGCGCCCGGTAGCGCGCTGAAGCGCGCTGGGCCTGTGACCAACACTCTCTTGTGTTGCTCCAAATTGTCCTAACTTGGGCTACAGTGCCCCGATTTGAGCACGGTTTGAAGCCACAGGTAGCTAATGAAGAAACCTACAATATAGTAGAAGATGTGAACTAAATAAGAAGTAAATTAATGATTTAAAAATGGAATAAGAACATGATGTTAAGCTTAATTGATATGATTCCGCAAGGTAATACGGTTATGATCACGGAATTGGGTATTATAAATTCGGTATGTTTTAAAATGAAAAATTTATCCGGATTTTAATTGAACCCATGTGATTGTAACTGCGCTTAATATCATAATGCGATGTTAACAAACCGGTTCTAGAACGGGGTGTTACATATCTCCAAAGCTTGAGTGGCACACTCGTCCAAGATGTCATCGAGCATGTGAGCTGCATCTTTTAGCTTTTGAAGCCAATCCTTGATAGCTCTGTTTGAGAATTGCTTCTCCTCAGCATCTTCGAGAGTGGCCTTGATTGCATTTAGTATGCTGGAAAGCCTCTTCAACTCTTGATCGAAGCCCAAGAAAAGTCCCACCTCATTTTGAATGAGTGAGTTCAAGTTCTTAAGCGCAAGTTCAAGCACAGCCTCAGCCATGTTCTATGTTGTAACTCACAAAGTGAAAATGCAACAGAGTTTGTAGAATGGATTAACAAGAGAGATGAGACGTTTTGCGTCAACTTATTGAAGTCAACATGGAACACACTGATAATGTATTATTGGAATTTCGCTGAAGCTGCAAGTCTGTCACGGAATTGACTCATGACATAGCGCAATCAATGACTTGTTTCCACTATTAATTATTTGAAATTTCGTGGAAGCAACGAGATGAAAAGGACGGGTTTGAAAAAAGGAACAATATTAGACAAGGGGGGCAATGACTCATTGAAATTTCTGGTATTTGTAAGGCGAAGGTCACTGTCTAATTACTTGAATCGATGATGTTAATTAAATGCCAAAATTTGTGAGATAATTTATGTCGTCAGTAGCATCTCAATAATTCAATAATAACAAGCAGTTCGTAAATTTAAACCACACTAACTACGTATTCTAACTATCTGTAAATCTATTTTTTTAATTATTTATCCCATTAAAAAAATGACACCATAAAAAAATTAATAATTAAGAAAAAAATTATTATTATTTCAAAGAGATTTTTCTTGTTAAAATATCATTTGTTCAATTGTAAAAAGAAAAGATAAAGGGGACAGATGATCTAAATTTCATTAACACAAACCTTGAATTTTAAATTTGTTATAGACACATTTCATATCTTCTCCTCATGTTTATCGTATCTACATTTCTGTAATCTTCATCTAATTTCACAATAAAAAAAATTTATAATGAAAATAACATTTCAATTAGTTTTATCATATTTTCATGAGGTGACACAAAAAATTACCAGTTACAATTACGTTGCAAGTATATAGAATGAAAGATCAAACCTGAACCATTTAGTATGAAATGATAACACATTCAATAACATGGTGGTTCTATAAATGTAATATTGGCTCTTTTTTATAGCCTGCCTTCTACATGTTCAGCCAAGATTGAACACGTCTTACTTTTTATATATGCATATTGCTTCTAACGCACCACCTTATGAGTGTGGTTATATAATTCTCTGCATATGGATAAATAAAGAGTAATGATATTCATATTTCAAACATCACGAATCTACAACTCTCCCGTTAAACTTTTCCCTTTTGATGGTGTGTAATATCCGCTCACCCTTTTTCCCAAAGCTAAAAGGTGTACAAAATAGTGTGTAAAAAAGAGGCCTATACTAATAACATAACTCATATATAAATTCAGGACAATAAATATCTACACTCCATACTGCTATTTATGTAAATCTCAAGAATGGCATTCCAAAATATACTGGGAAAAAAAAAAGTAATTTGATTGAAGGATAAGTAATTTTGGGTGAAGCATACTATTCATGAAAGCACTTCAAATTTACAATCTAGCACTGCAGAAGATTGCAAGATAATAGAAAAGAAGAAGCTGAAATGTGAGTGTAAATGGTGGCTGATATCTTAAGGCAGCAGCTAAAACTACAAATCACGACCTCGATTCATCATTTCATCCCTATCTATGAAACGGTCAAGCAGCTCTTTCTCTTGTAAAACCAAACAATCTTCAGCCTTACCAAACCATTCATACCGTTGTTTTGCTACATAATCATACACAGCATCCCTGATTGGAATTGGAACCACCAAGAGCGAACTTAAAGCAGAGTAAGGTAGTGGCAAGTATGACATTACTCGCAATGCAGCTGCAGAATCATGTGTCATCATGAGATTTACACACACAATCACATGGAAAGAAGAAGAGAGAAAGGTGAAAATATAATTTGACAAAAGCTCATCTGTGATGTGTCTTAATCTAAATATTTATTCCGGAATTTATCCTAAACATGATGCAGATGCTGTTGGCAAGCTCACCGCTATATTTACAATCTTAGATAGAGAGCTTCTTTAATGTACAATGTGGTAGAATACGGACCCTACCAGAAAATGTACATGTTTGAGAAACAAATACAACTTTTAAAACATTCAGAGTTAGACAGCGTGATCAATAAACTTCTCAAATTTAAGGTCACAAAATCCATCATAAATCTTGAGGATGAGAAGTATCATCAATGTACGATATTTTACTCCGGACAGAATATTGTGAATTAATTTGTCAGCCTGAGTGGGTTATTAACAAAATGATGAGAAAGAAGATGAGATCAGCAATTGGCAAGGCTTAAACTTCATTTGATATGGTATTAACATAAAATATGAGCCTGCATACAGGGGGGGGGGGGGGGGGGGGGGTAAAAAAGTACCAAAAACAACAACAGAAAATTGGAAGAAAAAAAAAAAGGAAACTCTGAAATGAATCAAAATGACTCTGAAACTTCCCTGGACCCAAAGGGGGAAAAGAGATTCTGAATTTGACAAGAAACAATAGTGGAAAATAATCTTAGCAGAACTAGATCATTGATGCAAGGATTTGCAAATGAACTTCGGCCTTTTAATGAGACCGTAGACAATCTAGAAAGAATAATCCTAAACAGAAAAATGTATTAAAGTTCAGTTAGATGATATTTTCAAACTTAAATAACCCATCTAATCTTTCACAGATCTAAATTGCCTACCAACTTCAAAACCAGCATTCCATTTTCATTCCAAGAAAGCTTTTCTTGATTGTAGATTCATTAGCATCATTACCATAACTCTGGGTGTGCTTTTATTTCAAACACAGTATATAAGGCTGCTTACATTTGAGTGATCTCACCTTCTCGGGACCCCACCAAACCATTAGTGGGAGCCTCGTGTGCATCAGACCACCCTTTCTACACAATAGCGAAACATTTCTGACGAGGTCAATTCAACACAGTAACAAATTCATAAATGCCAGATTGGTTAGTAATATTTACTTTCATATACAGAGATCTAAATACCCAAGATCCAAGGAAAATCTCAGACTAGATTTTCCTAAGTTACTAGAGATTTACTGGATTTTATGTAAAAAAATTATGCAATGGATTTTATAATGACCCTAACTGGTAAATCTTAATTAGAGATTTAATTTAAGGATTTAAATGTCATAATTAGATTCAGAGTGTAATTTCGAGTATTTTGACTGTAATCATGACTAGGTTATGAGCAGTGCGTTCTGCCGGGTGATCTGTATTATTGTGAATTAACCGGTTGAGCTAAAATGAGTAAAATGATTTTAGAGACATAATTTGACAATTCTGACGCCAAATATGAGTTCAGAACCAAAAATTGTATAGTCTGGCACTTTCCGTGAAAATCACGTGAATGGTGTTTTCTATCGGGTATTATGTACTGCTGTTAAGCAACCGGTAGAGTCCAGAAACAAATAATTGATGAAATAAGAATAAGAAAGTCCAATATGTGTCAAGCAAATCAAAATAGGCGCAAGAATGATAAGTTCATAAGTTTTAAGTTTCGTAAGAAAACGAAGTACAGTTAGTGATTCACAGTGCATTTCATCAAAAACGGTGCAAAAACCATAATGTGAATTATGAATATTGTTCCTTAGGAAATAAAAATTAATGTAAATGTGTTCAGAAAAATAAAAATATGTCCGTGGCTTTAAGTTTGTTACGGGTCAGTTTAAGTGAAAATACGCGATAGAAAAACAACCGGTAAAAAAGGTCACCTATACATATAAGTCCAAATCACTTAAGTGGGTACTATTCACATCAGATTTCCCTCCCTCTCTCTCCTCTTGGCCGAGATCTCTACCATGGAAGGGGCTAGGGTTTTTTGTTTGGTTTTTCCTTGATTTCTCCCTAAATACTCATCCAAATCCTTTGATCCATACATGAAAATCATAGGAAAAAGTCCAATGAATCCATTCCACCGATCAATTTGAGCTATAGTTGAGTGTGTGAAGAGTTCTTCCTCCCCCCATTTTTGAGCTACTATTCATCAAGGGAAAAAAATGGAGCTTTTAATGGAGCTTTGCTTGATGGGTGTCTTCTAGGCTTTGGGTAGTTGATTAGAGGTAACAAAACTCTAACCCTATGGTTTTATTTGAATGATTTAAGTCATGAAATTTATGAGCATATTTGGAGTGGGAAATAAGTTAGTTTAAAACTTGAATTGAGTATGTATTATGGATGTTTTGGATATATGAGTGTAAAATAAGCATGTGTATATATGTATAATTGGGAAAAAATCTCATGGTGTTTGGTCCCCTATGCCACGGCCTTGATAGGGTTATTAGGGGAGGATGTGTAAGATTTTATTAAATGTATTGGGAAGGTTTAATATGTTTGAATAAGTGAAAAAATTGATGAATTAATGTGAATGATAAAGTGGAAAAATCCTAGATCCTATGTCTCTAGGTTTCGGCCTTGATGAGTGAATTTAAGGTTATTGTGCAAATTTAATTGACATTATGGATATGTATATATATATACATATATACATGTATGTATAAGTTGTAAAAATTAAGTGAAGAAAATAATTGAAAAAGAGAGGAATCCTTTGAGATTCTCTTACGGATTTCGGTCTTATAGGGTAAATTAAGGATGATTAGATTATGTTTTATTTTGTTAAGGTGTTGAGTTTTCAATACATGAAATTAATGAGATTATGGAGTGAAATGGTTTGAAAAGAAATTATGGAAAATTCTCAAGTGAACACTTGATTAAATGAAAGAACACGAACGATTATAAAATGGTCTAGACTTGCGTATTGGCATAGGATTGGCAAAAACGTAAAGAAACGGAAATAAGCGAGAAAATGCATGCGTTATGAAAATCTAGGCATGATAGCATTTTATTGATTTGAATTTTGGATTCTTTCTCTAGGTGTACCTAGGGACTGAAAATGATCGGAATCTCTTGAAGATATATAAGTAACTTGTGCCACAAGTAAGCGTTTTGGTAAAGCTTCAAGAGGTAAGCTCTATGTTTAAGGAGTCTTTTCCTACTTGAGTGCTCCACCATGGTTATTGAACTATGGTTGGACTGTATGACTGTTGTTATGATGCTTTGTATAGATGCATTCATATAGAGCTATTTGATAACATGATATGACTTGTTCTGATATGATTTTTGTAATGATGTACAGTACACTGATGTCTTCTTGGGGTTTCCCTGAGATTGACGATGTACACCTCTGACATGTTCTGGTTCTGCTTGGGGTCTTCCCTTGGGAACACGTGCGTTGATTTCCGCTTGGGGTCCTCCATTGGGAATGACGGCGCACGCCTCTGATATGATATGATATGGATATATGCTTTGTTCTATTGGGAACACGTGCGTTGATTTCCGCTTGGGGTCCTCCCTTGGGAGTGACGGCGCACGCCTCTGATATGATATGATATGAAATATGCTTTGTTCTGTTATGATATCTGTTATAAATGCATTTGTATACTCTGTATCTGACTTTCATGCAGGAGTGAGCCAGGGGTATGGAGAATTCTCTATAAACCTGGAGCTTATTGAGATTTCTAATCTAACCCCTCTTTGGGGACATATTTTCAAGTGCCCAGATTCCCGGTGAGTCCTCACTAGGCAGGGACGCGACACGTGGCTGAGGCAGTTGACGGATCGGATTTTGAGTGGCTTTAGGCTACTACCCTTTTTAGAGTGTATTAGTGTATTTCGTATTTTCAGTTATTTTGGGGATCATGATGTTTGATCTCTCACCTTGTATATGGCCTGTATATGTCTTGTACATGTCTTTCAATTTGATGCATATACATTTATGTATTCAGGCATGTTGATATGACTAGGTAGTATTCAGTTATGTTATGTATTGGATTGCATGCTATTAGATTAGTGGCACGGAGCCAGGTTCTGCATGCACCCATAGATGGGTATTTGAGTATATTTGCATGACTGGTACTTCTGGATATATATATTGTTCAAACTGTCTATCAGGAACTCTTGAGAGTAGGATTGAAAAATCCCCAGTTGTCTGATTTACAGAGGTTACTCTGTCTGATTTTCGTTTACGCCTAATGAGAAAATGAAAAAGTTAACCCGTATTTTCGTAAGTTAAGTCTTCCACTGTTTCTGTCTATATCATATGTATGTTAATTGAACCGGCTCGAGACGGGGATGTTACAGATTTTGCGTTAAAACTTTATGTAACGCTCAAATCAAAAGTTATGCAGTCCAATAGTTTAAAAAAAGCCAAAAAGACAGAATGGATACTGTTTAATTAAATTAAAAGAGTGAGAATTCTAACCAGTAGATCCCTGAGAGTATACATTCAGGCCTTCAATGAACAAAAAGCGACGGAGGACATCCTCTCGTTCAAGACCACATGCTCTCAAATAGGGCTCAGCAGCTTCAGACTGAACGCAACAGAATTTGATCTTTCTGTCCTTGTCCGCTCTAATTACCCATTTCACTCCTGTCAATACAGAATTGTCAAAAGAATTAATACCAAACCCTAGCTTACATATTAAAATTGCACTCAGCAATTGTATGGAATTCAAACAATTTAAAAGAAACCTGGAACAATGCATAAGATAATGGAATTGGGTAATTGACAGGGCTAAAGAGAATAAGCTATGATAGTTCAATCTACTGGCTCATTTTATTTATTTTTTGCCATTAAATATATATATATATATATATATATATATGAGGTAGGATCCTTTGATACCAGTGTCAAATTTGAAATTTGACACCTCATCTGAGAGCTGTTAGATAAAAAAAGATCAATGACTCTGATTTGTAAGCATGTGACATCATTGATTTCTGTCCTTGTCCGCTCTAATTACCCATTTCACTCCTGTCAATACAGAATTGTCAAAAGAATTAATACCAAACCCTAGCTTACATATTAAAATTGCACTCAGCAATTGTATGGAATTCAAACAATTTAAAAGAAACCTGGAACAATGCATAAGATAATGGAATTGGGTAATTGACAGGGCTAAAGAGAATAAGCTATGATAGTTCAATCTACTGGCTCATTTTATTTATTTTTTGCCATTATATATATATATATATATATATATATATATATATATATATGAGATAGGATCCTTTGATACCAGTGTCAAATTTGAAATTTGACACCTCATCTGAGAGCTGTTAGATAAAAAAAGATCAATGACTCTGATTTGTAAGCATGTGACATTATTGATTTTTTTTATCTAACAGCTATCAGAAGAGGTGTCAAATTTCAAATTTGACACTGGTGTCAAAAGATCCTACCTACATATTATATATATATATATATATATATATATATATGTATGTATGTATATATATATATATATATATATAGATATTTGCAGAGGGGAAATATAAGAATATCATTGACAAACCAGCAAAGCAAAATTTTAAAAACATCAATCAAAGATCCAGCAACTTTCTCGTAAAATGCCAATTACAAATTTTATAGCAACTGAAACTCTATGTATAACACCTCTAGTTCTTCCATGTTGATCTTATTCAACATTAAAGAGGTGGTTTCCTTCCCACATCGAAATCCATCCTCAAGAAATGATATAAATTATAGTCTAGTCTCTAAAACTATACTTGCATAAACTGAAAATAGCTTAGTGTAAAACTCACTGCTAAGCTGGAAATAACCCAGCAAGTTGATATTGATCATTGGATGCTAACTGTCCTAATTCAAATGTTCATTGGATCAAAAAATGAGGGACAGCAATTGCTCCAACATCATGTAAACATCTCCAATCCCTATGACTTGGGACGTTCAAATTGTCAACTACCATTGATACTAATTAAAAATGAATAGCATTCTTCCTTCAACTCCTGAGCTAAGAAGATTCCCTGCTATTTATCTCCCTTTGAACACATCGCTGTATAGAAATTCAAGGAATTTGAACCAGTTAAATAAATCAACGTGCACAAGATATATCTTTCCATAATGACCCAAAGAAAAACCTTATAGAAGATTTGGTTAATGATCGAAAATGTTCTTATCTTTCCCCGATTGACAAATTCATTGCAAAAGTTCTAATCTTTCCCCAATTGCCGGATTCTTGCGGCAGCATAGATACATATCTTTTGAAAAGGTGCCATTTTTTTTGGTTTAAACTTACAAAGAACCAGCGAAGAAGCAAAAAGAACACACCCCATGTAATGTGATGAGTTGGAACACACAATCCATGAAACCCCAAAAAATAGAATAGAAGTGGGGAAGGAAATACCTCGGTGGCAGAGATGACAGACACCATCATAGACGACCACTCTAGGCTGAAGCAAAGTGGGGTTGACGGCCTTAACAACCGAAGAAGCAGGAGCATCTACATCGGACAACTCAGCAGCAGCGCTAGAAGACAACAATCGCCGCAACAACCAAAACGAGGCTCTGGTCGTTTCGGTGCTGGTTAAGCTTGCGAGCCCTTTCTTGATCATAATGTCCATCTTCTTGCGCTGTGTACGGAAGTTTCATGCAACAAGCCTAAGGGAAAGGGCTTGAACCGTAATATATTATTTCACCTGGCCTTTTGGACGGGCTTTATTTTTAGCCATGTTTTTATTTTTTTCATAAAAAAAATTTATTTCTACTACAAAATTCGTTTAGATTACACGTCTGCTTTTAAAAAACAAAAGCAGAAGTAACACAAAAAGTTAAAAATATTTATTTTTGGGAATCTAAAATTTTTTGTTTTTATAAAATAAAAAAAAGTCAAAAATAAATATTTTTTTTTTAAAAATAAACAAGACATAAAAGTAGCTTTTTTACTAGCCAAACCGGCTCAAATGCTCATTCAATACCCGATTTGCTTTTTCCAAAATTTGTCTCAATATAAATTAGTTTTAGAAGGAAGGATTTTCAAGTAAGGAATCAAGTTGTTAATGAGTTAACAATTTTAATATTTATTTTTAGGGTTTAGTGTTTGTTCTTTTAAAGGATAAGGAATTATGTTATTTTAAATGAAAGAAAGACACAACTCACACAAGTAATAAAAATTATAGGAGAGAAAGTGAATAATTTTTTTTAATTTAAATTTTAAGTAAAAAATATACTAGATTGTATTTTTCTCTGTCCTTTAAACAGACAAATATTTTCTCCTTGTTCTTATAGACGTTAGAAACTGAAGTAAGATGGGGAATTTTTTTATTAATAGAAAAGGAGAGTAGGAAATTATTAATGAATTTTTTAACTTAATTAATTTAATAGAACACTATTTTCACTTAAAATAATATAATATTGTGTCCTTTATAAGAACAAATATTTTTGGGGAAAGTGTATGTACTTTTAAAGGACACACATTTATATCCTTTTAAGAGAGATAAAAGAATAAATTATGGAGAGAGAGAGTAGAGAAAAAAATTTGTACTTTAAAATTTTAAAAAAGCACTATATTCATCTAAAAGGATCATTCTTTTTTCTTTTCTTTTTTGATAAATAAAGGACCATCCTTTTAAATGATAGACATTTTTCCCAATATTTTTACCATAAAACATAATAATAAATACATCATTCACAAACTTTTAATCACAAATCTATAATATTTAAACTTATCTCATTTGTATAAACTTAGCACTAACCTTGAACTTATTTGTCTAACTAAACAAACAAGCTTAATCGATCATCTATTTAGTCAAACTCAAAAAATACATCCACATCCATACCAATTCATTTAAACCTCCCAATTCGCACAAGTGCAATTAGGAATAAATATAAGATAATGTTTGAATTACATAAATAATTTATGTTTCTATCTTTTTATCTGTTTGTTGCTTAGTTTAGATTAAATGTATTCATTAACTCGTATTTGTGCCTCTCAAATATTAAAATTAATTTTGGTTTCATAGAATTTCCAATATGGTATCAGACTATCAGTGCGATTTCATCCTCAGTAACCTTTCCATCACTTTTCTATCGCAGAATTTCTTACAATTGGGAACTGAACTATATGTCATCCTTTCCCAACGTCCCATTTTTCCATCATCCCATTTGTTTTCTAGCAACCCCAACTCTAACAATTTTTTTATTTTTATTTTTTTAACAAAGCCCATTTGTTCCAGTTGTTACCTACTTTATAAGTTTCAAAATGTTGTTCTTGTTGAATTTGGAGAAATTTTAATTCTTGCTGCATATATTTTCTTGCCAAATACATTCCCAGTGATGGTTATGAATTTTGGAAAAGTTTTAATTCTTGATATGTATATCTGTTTGCCATGACATTTTCACTAATGGTTATTTCAGCAAGGACATTTCCGCTCATGTAATTCCGACAAAATCTTCTTATTTAGTCAAGTAATATTTCAAACAGTTCTTCAAAATAATGGCCATTCGTGACGTCTCCAACATCCCTGAGTTATCTTATTAGCCATGTTTTGTGGGAATTTTTTAGTAAAACATTGGGCAAGAATTTTTTTTTTTCATTCTAGTTTGCAAGTTAGGCATTCATTGCCTCCACGCTCCAAGTTAAAGGGGAATGATTGGAATGAATAAGGATAAACTAATATTTGAGTTACATAAACTTCTTTCTATCAATTATATTCATCAACTTGTATTTGTGCCTCTTCAATAATATAATCAACTTTCATTCCATAGAATTTTCAATAGGTGCATTGGGATACTAAGAAAGAATGTTTTGATATTCATAAAAAATAATAATATAAGACCACATCAATTTTTCGACAATACTCCCTATGCTACTATTTGATTGTCCCATTGCATGTAATATGGCTTTTTAGTTTTTAGACCCTACATGCTGGGTGATGGTTAGACTTGGCAAATCTCTTATCATTAGCAATTTACTAACTATCCTTTGAAGCAAGGGCAGCTTTTAATCCGTACTTGGAGAAAACATCACTTAATACAGCCTTCTCCTTGATCTTTAACCTGCACCAGAGTCAACAGAGTATACATGAGAAATGAACACAAAGAATGAAAGTCATGCTAAAGCAGTATATAATGCACAGGAAATCACCTTTTTGCGGATCCAGGAACATCTAAAACCTTTTTTGCTTTCTTTTTGGAAGTTTGTTTTTTCTTAAGGGAATTCTCTTGTTTATCTTTGGCAGATGACTTCTGCTCAGCTGTAGGGTTTCCGTTAACCTGCTCGGAGGGAAGTGAATTAATTTCAGAATCAATACTCATTTCCATACTATCATCACTATCCATCTTCAAAGCAGCGAAGGCCATTTCATTCTCTTCGTCACCTTCTTGTTCTTCTCCATATATCTGATTGTCCATGTCATCATCCGAATCATCTGAATTGGTCCCATCCCAGGAAATAAGGGCAGATTCATCCATATTAGAATCCTCATTTGAATCTTCTTCAAAGGCAGAGACCATGAGACGCGTAGCAGCATTAACATTTTTGCTTAATTCCGGAGAAGAAGATGAGGACGGTACATTTACAAGCTCGCATTTTATCTGCTTCTGAATTTTGCCAAAAGTAAGAGTTTGTCCAGTGTATAACTCTACAAACCTGAGAGAGATAACAACGGAGTTAGTAAGATATAAGCACAGGGAAAACAACTCAAACATTGCAAACAGGCCGCGGACTCTTTCAATAACAAAAGTACAATAATCGAAATTGGACAGATCCCTACTCTACAGCCTACACATATGCACTCATTTCACTTTAGCCAAGTAAAATAACATGAAGAAGCTTGAATCAATTATCCAAGAGAACCAAACTATCTTTTACTATTTTACATATTTTCATGATGATAAATAAGGAGGTCTAAAAGGAAACACTTTTAAGGAGAGTTAAAGAGTCCTCTGTGTCAAACCCACAAAATTCATGAAGAAATCATCATGGTGATATATTTATCATTACAATAATGTCATGCACTGCATATATCACACTGAACTCATTCTTGCTTTATTTATTTATTTTAGTGGGAGGGGATATGGGTGGTTGGAAGCAGGCACTAGATCAATGTTATAACGCACCTAACTGCATCTTTTTCATGCTTGAAATCAACAAAAGCAAAACCCTTGCAGATAGGGTCCCTTGTCTTCTTGTTTCCAGTAACAGCTGGGACTATATTCATTATGCCCGGAATACCTTGCAAAGCAGATTTCAGATCCCTATGGATGTTCTTTTTCCTGGGTAGGTTCACCAAGCGCACTCGAACTCCAATTGGAACAACTTCTGCATGTTCAAAGTTCCATGGCAAGAGATAGAGTAAGATTTCAAATTGTAGGCTCAGCAGAAATGAGAAGCAAACACTTTGCAAATCAAATAGTCTTGGACATTGGCTTCATAATTCATCCAAAGGCCAGACACAATAGCAAACAACAACAATATATGATACTGGATCCCAATATTTGTTTTCACAAGTCTTTAGATTCTTTTCAATCACCACAAACTGAAAAGTGCACTCCTCAACGAACAAAAAATTTACGGGGAGCGGGGTAATCAAAATTAGCTTTTGAATGCATATATTTATTCATGTAGCCAACCGCATGGGATAAAAGCTTGATGTTGTTGTGGTTGTAAACACACAACGAGACTCAAGCAGTTATGTGTGCATATGCATAAACATAAAGAAAACTCCATTACCCAATTTACCCATCACTAGGAGATGCTTATGCATACACTGGCAAGAAACACAACACAGGATTAAGGAAATGAACATAAACCCATCATCAATTGCAGAGTAATTTTACGAAAGGAATAATTTTTCAACTACTTTGAACATGGCAGCTTGCAGGGTGCAACCCAAAAATAAAAATTGGTGGCTAACCTTTCTTCTTGTCATCACTTTTGTTGGAGGCAGGCTTCAGAGGATTACTCTTAAGCTTCTTCAAATTCGCAGCTTGTGCTTCTATACTCTTCCGCATTTCCTCAAGCAGCTTATCCTCAATAGAAGTATCATACACTTTCCCTTCACCAAACCCTAAAGGTTTCTCCATGTACCATTTTTTCATTTGCTCCAACGGAAGCATTATCTCCTCATCATCATCGTCATCATCTTCACCTTCTTCGTCTTCTTCTTCATCTTCTTCATCGTATTCATTACCAGTATCACCGATATCGTCATCCTCCTCCTCGTCCATTCTCACAGAACCAGCGCCATCTCGGCGCCTTTGCTTCTTCGCCGCGGCCGCGACAAACCTACCGCCACGCACGGTTCGCAAATTGACGTAGGGTTGCCGGAATTGTTGGAACCCGAAAAGCGAAACGAAAGATGAGCGAGAATGAACGACACGTGCGGGTGCCAAGGAATGACACGTGTGGGCGCGAGTGAGAACTGGCACCGAATTGAACGGTGCCGGAAACGCAGTTGCACGCAGCATTCTTCTGCTTCTTCACTTCTTCGTCATCCACGCAAGTCTGTGTCACCCAGAAACAGCGTTTATAATTTTTACAACCTACTAAGCTAATATTATTGATTAGTCAAGTCTATCACAAGGTTTCGTGGTGTAGTTGGTTATCACGTCAGTCTAACACACTGAAGGTCTCCGGTTCGAGCCCGGGCGAAGCCATATTTCCTTTTTTAATTTTTCTAGAAATCTTATGCCCTTATGTGGGCTCTTTTTTTTATTATTATTATTTTCTTCACTTGTAACCTACTTAATTTGCCAAGTTCTTCTCATCCAATATAGCCCATTATATAGCAGCATTCCAAATGTGGACTGGGTCATATTTCATCAGTTTCTTAGGCGTGGGCTTGTTACGGCAATTGGAACAACCTAACACTACATGAATTTGACCAGACCAGGCTCTTGGTTCCTGCAGCTGGATAAAAATACACCACCAAAGATTGTTTCCCTGATGCCAGCACAATTATTTCCACGCACACAGACACACCCTTCGTTTCATCAACTTGGAATGGAAAATGGAAATGATAAGGATATTGATTTCACCACTTCTTTCTTAGTGCTGCTAATAACTCTAGCTATATACTTCAAATGTATCTCTCTATGTGTTCATTGGTACTTGCCTACGTTTTTTTTTCCATTTTCTTATATCTTCTTGGAACTTGTTATCACTTAACAGTCATGCTTCTCTGTCGGCTTATATACCATACGAATGCACATACAATTTATTGCTCCCTACCAAACAGTATCCTGGTCCATGTCTCATGTCTTGCTCGAACTAATAATGGATCCTCCTTTATCTTGATTTGATTTATCCAACATTATTCTAGTAATAAAATTTTATTCTTTAGAGAGCTTTCATTTGTATGTGCATTATTTGAAGCTGTCATTATCTAAGGAAACCTAAACACAATACATCAAAATTAATAAAAAGTAGAGCACTTAACCTTTTCGCATAGTATACAGCAAAAAACATACTTGAGATCATATACGCAAACCATGCTGATTTGTGGGGCGTTATTCCTATTATTTATGTATTGAGGGACGAGGCAGGTTATATTTATAAATTTTTTTGTTTACAAATTCTTACAAACTATATTATGTTCTCTCGGGAGAACACTTATTACACTATGTTCTCCCGTGAGAACATAGTGTAATTTGTAAAAAATTTCAAAAAAAATTTATAAATGAATCTTCCCCTTAAGGGATATATATTTTGGTTAGGTGGAATTTTCTATCAATGTCTATACTATTAGATTTTATTTTATTTTTCAGTTGAATTGTTACAAAAAAAATAAAAAATAAAAAATAAAAAATCTTTTGGATAGCAATTGTTACAAAAATATAAGTCAAAGGTAGAAATTAAGAACCCCAGCAAACAGTGAGCCCACTTGGGTTTTGTTTGGTAGTAGTAGTAGACAATTATATGCACCTTCCTGCAAAGTCTCATCCTTTTACTCAAATTTCAGATGATGCATACTTTGAATTTTTTGTCTAACTTTCACTTATCCATCCAGGTTGGTTATTATTTTCAATGTTTTCTAGGAGACAAGAAAAGAAACTTGTAGATTTCAAAAAAGAAAAGAAAAAAACTTGTTTATTTATATGATGGCATGCCATACATTATTAAAACTATCTCAACTTAATTTAATTCACTTCAATGGGAAATTAAGGAAAAGTGTTCTTACGATGGAGAAATCAATATGTTTAGTTACAGCTCACCCACTGCGGATCTTTTCAAGTTGTTTTTTGTCATATATTCTTTTTCTTTTCTTTTTTATGTTGAAAATTTGAAGGTGTGGGGTTGTTTAATTGATTTATGCTCAATAACTATTTGTTCACTGTGCCAATGCCACTTCATGTTGAAGAGGACATTGAGAAAATAATTACTAAAACATATCTTGTGTAAATAATATTGATTACTTTTTTTCTATTTTTTAACATAAACATATACAAAACTGTGTTTGGTACAATAGCTGTGAATTTCTTCTTAATTTGCTGTTCTCTTTCTTTTTATCCAATCCATTTTGGTTTTGCATGTTTTAGGCTTGTGCATAGTGAATCGCTATAAAATTTTTGTCCATGCTAGTTGTGCCATAGATATGTGAGGAAAAGTAAAAACAAAAAAAATATGCTCTACAAAAATTAAATACATAAATAGTTAAATAGAGCAGGTGTTAATTACTTCTAGTGGATTAGGGTTAGGGACCTAGGGGTGCATCAATCTATAATATAAATTAAGCATTTAGGTTGAATCATGTATCTAACCACTTTGAAATGGGAGAAAAGGTTTACATATATATATAACAATGACAAGTTACAGCAATCTTGTTATTAATCAAAACATTCAGATGGCTGAACCTTAAAATTAATCATGCTAAAGAAAAATCATAATGGGGGTTTGACATTCAATAGCCTAGTAGTGTCTAATTTACTCTTAGCATTAGACTTATAATTATACAGAATTAAGCCCCACTAACTCATTATCTAATATCCAAATTAGAATTATGAGAGATAGCTAAAGAAGTGTGTCACGATCTAATATAGTCGACCATAAGTTTTAAAGCATACAATGGGTCCTGTTTTCTAACTTGGACAGGAACTAATACCATAATCCAGAAGCCCTTAAATCAGACTCAATTGCACTCATCTCAACGACTATGGGGATCATTTCAAGTTTCTTTCCTCAATTCATCTACCATAGAAAAGGCAAAAGAAAGAAAAACAAAAATAAAGGCACAATAGAGGGGGGAAATGGTGCCTTGTATCTCCATATATGTGAAAGCCTATATGTTCTGGAATGAACATTTATGGTCTAGCAGTATAGCTAGTATTTGTATTTACGGAGCTTATGGTAAAGATGACAGGCAATGAGGAGTCCTGCACCTTAGGCCAAAGTCCGATGGGATGAACAAGGGGTGTGTGTGAGAGTCACCTGCGGTGGATAGGATGTGCTCTAGGCACAAGTATGTAGGTGAGTTCTGAGCTCCCCCCTTTGTTAGCTATAAGGGGTTATATATAGATGAATGCATTAGGAGATTGTGCCCCTAGTGGGTAGTTTGCAGGTGACTTCATGGCATGATGCAATGCTAGTGGGTGGTTATTGCTAGTAGATGGGAGTTAGGAGAGAATGGTGGAATGAGATGCTCCATGTAGTGGGGATAGAAAGTGGGTACCACATAAGTGGTCCACAACACTATATAATACAAAGATCAAATAGAAAAAAGAGGAAAGAAAACAGTACTGAAAATGATGTTCCCACTTAGCATTTGTAAATAATCAATGATCATTTGTGGTATGGCCGGGGTGGGCTTAGCTAGAAATTGTTGGAGACTTGTCCAAAGGCAATTCTCTAAGAAAAATAGTATGATAGTGCAAACTACAAAGAAAGCATCCATGTGGGAGTTTGAACTGATCCCCATTTCTCAACCACAGTGATAGGTTGCAATGCTCATGAGTTGTTGACTCTCTTTGTGTTAGCGTGCACTCACCATACATTTTTTAAAAGCTTAGTCAAACATTGTAAGAACATAGATATGTGGTGAATATTGACATTGATAACCCAAAAATAAATAAATAAAAGAGAATAGAAAGGAAAAAGGAGTGAAAATAAAGAAAAATTAATGACATCACCGTGATGCAATTATTATAGAAGAGAGATTGTTCATTTTTTTATTTATTTTGTTTCCCACAATCAAATTGGGCTAATTAATATCTAATGATGAAAATTGAGAAATTTGTATCGCGTAAAAATCATGACATTATTTTAATCTAACGCCATACGGTAAGTTATAGCAAGCTAGCAGATTGTAAACTTGTTTAATGTGATCTAATTAATTGATCTTAATGACAAGTTTATTTTTCATATTTATAAATATAACACTTTTTGTATCTCTAGTGTATTAATTATTTGGTTTATTACCGTTTTAAATAGTAGAATTAATGATGTTTCTTAATAAATTTATGGGAAAAATGTTTCTCCAATTAAAGGATATAATTTTGTCTTATTTTAAATTATAACTGTTGATTTTCGTCAATCAACGGTTAGGATTTATTGGATTTTATTACGAATTACTAATTAATTAATAAATTTGACCATGTTTACAAAAAAATAAAAAATAAATTTGACCCAATAAATCTTAACTGTTGATTGACGAAAATCAACAGTTATGATCTAAAATGACACTAAATTATATCCTTTAAAAGAACAAATATTTTTTCCTAAATTTATAGTGTGTTATCTCTTTATAACTTATTTTACTAAATAAAAAAAGAGAATATTCAGAAGAGATCCTCCTTCATAGTCTAGAGGTGTAAATGGGTTGGGTTAGACTGAGTTAGGCTTTTAAATAGGTCAGTCCTACGTAAAATATTTTAAATTTGGCCTGATCTGTTAGCCTTATGTAACCTTATGTAAGTTCAAATTATAGATTTGGTCTAGCTTATACCTAAAAAACAAAAGCCTTGGTCTATATATACCTGTTTAAGTCTATTAGGCATTCAATATTAAAAATTAATTAAAATAATATTATTTTATTATCAAAATTATTAAAATAATAATTTATTTATTTTATTTAAAATAATAATTTATTTATTTTATTTAAAATAAATAATATGATATGAGTTGGTCTATAGGTTTATAGGCCAGAGTCTGTAAGTTTATAGGTTCGGTATGTAAAATAAAGTCTATAATCTGCTTTCTAAATAGATTTTTTTTTAAACCTAAATCTTTTCTATTTGACTATATAAGATAAGCTGAGTCTAGCTTCATATAGTTTGAGTCGTAGATCTCTAACCTATTTTTACCCCTAAGTTCATAGCACATAAGAGGACAATAAAATATATATTTAAAAAATAATATCCACTTCTAAAGATTTATATAAATTTAAAGGAGACGAACACCGCTATTAACTCTATCTCGCTCGCTTCACTACTGTTCTCGCATAGGTTAATTAAGGTCCGTACCTCCTAATTTGAGTTAACAGATCGATTTAGTCT